TGAAGCCCTCAACCTGTTCTTTGAAGGCATGGACATCGGGGCGCTGGAGGACAACTCCGGGTTTGGACATCACGAGCTCGAGTGCAAAGCTGGTGAAGTAGTTCCCCACCTCGAGCGTGTATCCCGACCATAAAAGAACTGTCATGTTCATAATCTCGATGGATACCCGGTTGTTGTTTGGACCAGTTAGCGTTGCCTACCTTCGTTGCTTGGTGACGGAAGAGGACCGAGCAAAGATGAATGAAGTGGATGCACCGAGCCTTTTTAACAAGGCACAACATGCATTGAACAATGTATTTCTTTCTTTCCTTGCACACTTAAAGGGTTCATCCAATCTTAGCATATTTTTATGATTTCATTATTTTTGTTTTTCAGGTCTCGCTGCTTCACCATGAGAGCTTCCATCGGTCTCGGGTGGAAGTGAGCCATCTCGGTTTTGAGCTCAAGGAGCAGGTCCGGCAGAAGGATATGTACAAAGCTCTTAGTGAGTAAAAAGATGAGGCCCTCAAGGAACTCCCCATCCTCCAAGCCGAGGTAGAAAAGGCTCAAAAGCAGGCTTCGTCGGTGAAATGAGAGCATGCCATTCTAGTCGAAAAGGTAAGGTTTATTTGAGATTCATAATGAGAGGCTATGCACAGCTGGTAACGCCATAACCTTGCAGTTCTAAGAGAAGATAGACCTGATCGACCAGCTCCGAGCCGAAATGAACGAGGTCATAGCCTCGGTCGAGCCGTTGAGGAGAAAGATGGATCTCCTAGCCTCGAAAAAGGAGGCCACCAAAGAGGATCTGGCATTGGCCAAGGACCAGCTCCGGGTGATGAAATATAAAGCCGACAAATGGTCTCGGCTGAACGATGAGCTCCGAGTACAACTAGACTCGGCCATCTCAGAAATGGATGCCCTTGGTCGGCAGTACACATCATTGATGTCCAAGATGGAGGCGGCTTCGAACGAGTCCTCCGAGGTCCAGTAAATGCTGGCCCAATATAAGAATGACGTGGAGGTGGCCAAGTGTCACGACGCCAAAACCGACCCGGTCATGATGGCGCCTATCGTGAAACTAGGCCAGCCGACACAATCCTAAATCAACCAATATTTCCTAAAAAAAACGTTTTAAGCTAATAGTCAAATAAAATCCCATGACATTGGTCAAAATAACAACTGCATAAAGAAAATATATGCCCGACATCGGGATGTCACAAGTCACGAGCTTCTACTAAGGTCTCAATACAACAAAGACTAACACAGTCTGGAAAAATTCTAAAAAGTAGTCTAAGGAAGATAAGAGGAAGAAGGCTGCGAACGCCATGCATCTACCTTGCCGACTCCGAAAGACCCGCTGGGTGAAAGATCAGCGTTGGCTATCACGATCTGCAACTCTTAGATCTGCACACAAGGTGCAGAGAGTAATGTGAGTACGCCAACTCAGTAAGTAATAAAAGTAAATAAAGACTGAGCAGTACGAAAAAAACATAATCCACGTCATAACACCATAGTAAGTACAGGATGTTTCCAAAACAGTATATAAATTAAGTTATCCCGTTAAAATCCAATTTCAGTAAAAATCCTTCGAGAAATGTCTTTCTAGCAGTTTCAATAGAGATTCAATGAAGTTTAAAATAAACTGATGAAAATCATAAATAGCCCCTCGGGATAGAAATGTATCATAAACCGCCCCTCGAGCATAATATCAGTCAGAACCAGCCCCTCGGGCGACAACATATCACTCACTCTGGGTACCCGAGCTCACTAGGGGTGTACAGACTCCGGAGGGGCTCCTACAGCCCAAGCGCTATCACAAGCCATCTCGTGGCATAACAAATCAGGCCCTCGACCTTTCGTATATCTCAAATGAGTACAACATGCTGCGGCGCGCAGCGCGATCCCATGATATCCTTACAACACAGGCCCTCGGCCTCACTCAGTTAGAAACCTCTCAAGCCACTCGGGCTAACAGTGAAATAGGGTGCTCAGCCCAAAAAATATCATTTATAGTGTCAAAACAGAGCAAATAAGGGTGAGTTACAAAATCAGTAAAACACAGCATGACTGAGTACCGATATTAAATCAAAACAGTGAGGAATAGTAGTAAAAGAAAACCCCTAAGGGTCCAAACAGCTTTGCACGAGTCCCAAATATGGCATTCAACCCAAAACATATTAATACTTTCCAAAGCACAATAATATCAAATAGTTTCTAGTGAAATATGCGAGACGGATCAAGTCAAAATCCCCAATGGTGCACGCCCCCACGCTCGTCATCTAGCGTGTGCGTCACCTCAATGTAGTGAAACAATGTGAAATTCAGGGTTTCATACCCTCAGGACAAGATCTACAGTCATTACTTACCTCAAACCGGACCAAACTCTAACCCGTGATGCCTTTGCCTCTTGACTCGGCCTCCAAATGCTCCGAATTAAACCAAAATCAGCATCACATCATTAATAAACGCTAAAGGAACATAGCCCATGCGAAAATTATCAAACTAACTCAAAAATCCCGAAATTGGCCAAACCCGACCCTCGGGCCCACGTCTCGGAATCCAACAAAAATCATAAAACTAGAAACTCCTTTCACTCCCGAGTCTATACATACCAATATCATCAAAATCGGATATCAAATGGCCCCTCAAATCCCCAATTTAAACTTTCAAATTTCAAGCCCTAATTCCCCAATTTTTACCCTTAAATCCCACAAATTTCATGCTTAATTAACTGAAAATCACCATAAAATCGAGTTTTAGGTTAAAAAACATTGCCTCAACGAGTTTCCCCTTGAATCCCTCTTCAAAACCCTCCAAAAGCTCCAAAAATCGAGTTGAAATTGTGAAGAACACCAAAAATTCGCGAAGGGTTCCTTTATATACCTTCTGCCCAGGCATCTCACACCTACGACTCCCTTTCACGCTTCTGCGGTCAAATCAACCGCACCTGCGGTTTTCACTTATAGTCCCCAGGTCCGCATCCGTGCCCACGCACCGCACCTGCGGTCCCGCAGATGTGCCCAACATACAGCACCTGCGGTTCTTCTCCTGATGGCCAACTTTCGCATCTGCGGTCCACAATCCGCAGGTGCGGAAATAACAAAAGCAACAGATTCTGCAACACCAACTCAAATCCAAACTCTCCGTCAACCACCCAAACTCATCCCGAGACCCTCGGGACCTCAACTAAACATGCCAACAAGTCACATATCATCATAAAAACTTATTCCAACGTTCGAAACACTCAAAGCAACATCAAAACATCAAATCACCCTCGGATTCAAGCCTAAGGATTTCCAAACTTCCGAATTCCGCAAACGATGGCAAAACCTATCAAACCTCGTCCGAATGAACTAAAATTTTGCACACACATCACAAATGACACAACGGTCTACTCCAATTTCCGAAATTCCATTCCGACCCCGAAATCAAGATTTCCACTGCCGACCGGAAAATGCCAAATTCTCATTTTGCCAATTCAAGCCTAAATCTACCAGGGACCTCCAAATTACACCCCGAACATGCTCCTAAGTTCCAAATCACCTAAGAAGCTATCCAAACCATAAAAATCCAATTCCGAGATCATTTACCCACCAGTCAAGTTTCGGTTGACTTTTCAAACTAAATAACCAACTTAAGAGATTAAGTGTCTCATTCCACCCTAAGACCACTCCGAACACAACACCACCAACACGATATGATGAAATACAGCTAAACAACACACAAGGAAACAGAAATGGGGGGAACGGGGTTGTAACTCATAAAACGATCGGTCGGGTTGTTACATCGAGGCCCGTATAATAACAAAGGCTGAATACGTGAAGTGGCTATGCCGAAGAGAGACCCTCGAGGAGATTCATGATCGGGGGTTCAATCTAATAGCTGAGATCGAAGAGGCGAAGTGGCTTGGGCTGAAGCCAAAGAGATGTACATTTTTTCTTTATTATCTAGTGCAATCCGTCTATAGACTGATTTGAATAACAAACCAACCCGACCCATCACCCTTATTTTATTAAGGGGCCTGACCCAATACCCAATTTGATAAACCCCAATCCTATTTTATTATCCCATTCTCTCACCTATCTTTCTTCTCCCAAGTTCTAATTTCTCCTCAGTCGACCACACCACAAAGCTGGACCTCTAGGGTTTTGTTTTCAGAGACGAGTCGAAGGCCGGATGCTTTTAACAAGTACGTTATGTTTCTGTCTTGTTCTATTTTTCTTAATTGCGGGTCAAAAATTCGTTTGTTTGTATTTTATATGTGGGGTTAGGGTTTCTTGTCTTATAATGGTTATGTTGTTTATTGATATCTTTTTGGTACTTTATCCTATTAAAGAATAAAAAAAAAAGAATAATGTGTTGTAATTGTTGATTTTGTTGTTTGGTTGCGGTCCTTCATTACCGTATATTTTTGAATTTTTTACTCGAATTTGTTGTTGTCCTTCTTATGCCTTTCTACTTACTGTTGTGGACCCTTTTCTTTGCATGTGATATAAACAGAAGATGATTGCTAAGTCGACCTGGTATTTCACTATGGGGTTAGTTGGGTATTTTCACCTGAAATAGGGTATGATCAGAAGCATGTGTACACTTTGTCTGGTTATGATTCTTGCCTTGTCAACTATAAAAGTCTTTGTGAAGAATTTAACAAAAAATTAGGATTTAGCTCAGTCGAGCAACTTGTAGTGACTGGACCTTCAGGGAGGTACTACCTGGTTACTGATAATGATTGTGTGAGGACTCTTCAATACTTGTTCTCTAAAGAGTTCAATGTGATTAACTTCTTTGTTGTGGATGAGTTTGAAGCTAGGGTGTTCGCTCAAAACATTATTCATCATAAACGAAAACTTTCTGTAGACATTGATGCAACTTCTGAATGTGAAAGTAGTTTAGGTGGTGGTATTTTTGATGATTCAGAAGGTTTTGAATATGATTATTCATAACTTAACGCTATTAGTAAAGAATAAAAGAGGGTTATTACTGATAGGTTAGAACAATTCAAGGAGTTGGAGTTAGGTATGACATTTAAGGATATTGAAGAAGCTAGAAAGATAGTGAACTTCTATGCATTGGCTAATAGAAGAGGGTTGCAAGTGGTCAAAACTGATTCAACTAGGGCTAGCTATAAGTGTGCTACTGGTTGTCCATTTAGATGTTATATCTCACAGGATGACAATAGCCATAGCTATCAAATGAAGACATGGAAATATGTCCATACATGTGATCCTTGCTTAAAAGATTCTAAGGCTGATCAGAATACTTTATCACACCTATTTAAGAAAAAAGTGCAGTACAATCCTCAGTATAGCCTGAAGCAAATGAAAGATGATTTAGAGCCTGGGTTTGAACTAAATGGGTTAATGTCTAAGCTTAAAAGGGCCAAGAATTTGACACTTAAGAAGTTAGAGGGAAGTTTTGTTGATGACTACAAGAAACTTGAGGCCTATGGGCAAGAACTTATACAATCTAATCCTGACACTGATGTTGTAATTAATATTTTTAAACATGCTCTTGAAGAAGGGAAAACAAAGCTCTTAAGGATGTATATATTCTTCAATGCATTGAAGATGGGTTAGAAAGATGGCTTGAGACCACTTATTGGGATGAATGATACTTTTCTTAAGGGAAGATATAAGGGCCAATTGCTAGTTGTTCTTGGTCAAGATATCATGAATCATTTTTACTCACTTGCATGTGTTGTGGTAGACAAGGAAAATGCTAAAACTTGGGGATGGCTTATTGAGTTTCTGAAGCTTTCTTTGGATCTAAATGATGGTCATGGAGTTACTTTCATCTCAGATATGCAAAAATTATTACTTTGATCTTTATTGTTTCCTTTTTCTATTCTGTCTAGTTTTCTTTCTCACATTTATGTTTGTTTTATCAATAGCGTTTACTTGATACTGTGAGGAATGTACTTCTTAATGTTCATCATAGGTTTTGTGCGAGACATATTGACGCTAATTGGCGGAAAAAAATGGAGAAGTTGATAGATGAAGAAACGTTTATGATGGAGTGGTTGGAACACTTATAAAGAAGATTCCAAAGATAAAATTACCATGTTGGGTGAGATATCTGATGATGGTATTGCTGCTAAAGACCTATCGCATTATCCACCACAAGCTTGGTGTAGAGCATATTTTGATACTCAGTGAAAAATATGGTGATTGACAACAATTTTACTAAATCATTCAATATACTGGATTCTGAAAGCAAGGCATATGTCAATATGCTTTGAAGATATATAATGACTATAAGGTAATAGCACATTACTGCAAGGTTGAGTTTAGTGGTGACATAGGATTTGAAATTAGTGAAGGTGATGATGGACATACTGTGGATCTTAACAAGAAAAGATTCACATGTAGAGTGTGGCAATTATCTAGTATGCCATGCCCCCCATGCAATCAAGGCTATATTGTATGACAAGATATGAGCCACGACTATCTTTCACTAAATTATTCTATTGTTATCTAATTACTAACAAGTTTTTACTTTGGTAGGGTAAGCCACTGTCACAAATCCACCGATACTTGTCACGATCCAAATTTCCATTATAGATCATGATGGCGCCAAACACTGCTGTCAGGCAAGTCAACACTAACTACTTAGTCTAGGTCTCATTATAATATTTTCAAAATCATAATTTTCCTTCAATTAAATAGTAGAAGATGGAAATTTCAGAGTAAAAATTAATATTTTTAACAATTTCAATAACAACTCATAATCACCCCAAAATCCGATGTCATAACTGCATGAGCATCAACTAGGAATAGGAAATAAAATAAAATACAACATCTGTCCGGAATCCAAATTTGGACAGGAAAGAAATTATGAAAACTCTGAAGGAAACTCTGTTGGCTGTAGGTCGTAATGTGAAATGCAGCTCACCTAAGTTCCCGCGTTAACCACGCCTCTGAGCCCACAAGGCCACTAAGTATATATGTGCCCGCACACAAATGTGCAGCAAGTGTAGTATGAGTACGTAATTCAAAGCGTACCCAGTAAGTATCCCGTCTAACCTCGAAGAAGTAGTGACGAGGGGTCGACTTCGACACTTACTATGGGCCATAAATAAAATACCAATGATATAATGAAACATGGACTATATAGGATGGCTGTAAGCTCAATATCATGAAGTAAGTAATGGTTCTTTTATAAATGAGAAATTTACGAATTTATTTTGCATCATTTAACAATTTATATCTCAGGCCAATGAGGCAATATCTATTATTATAAATTCTAAAGCAACCAATTCAATCATGCGCAAGTCATGTCGAGGTCGTACGGTCCGATCCAATATATAAATATAAACTATACACTACTGCGGGTCGAACGATGCGAACAATAGATGTATTTATTTAATCTGCCGAGGCGTTCGGCCCGCTCCACGAAAGAAAAACACATTCAAACGGCCAAATCAAGAATTCATTAAGGAGCAATTATCCAAGGACATGCCAATTCTCATGTAACGGTCAAGAAAACGAAGTTTAACCTTTTAAAAATTCATTTACCAAGTTCAATGTGATTTAAGCTATTTAAATTAACAATAAGGTTGCAAATATCGCAAGTATAGCATGATTTGGGTCCTAGACTACCCGAACTTAAGTATAATAGTAGCTATGCACGAACTCTCGTCACTTCGTGCATACGTAGCTCCGCAAATAGAAGCACATATTGAATTATTTTACCAATGGTGTTAATTCCCTCTTACAAGGTTAGAAAGGAGAATTACCTCGCTCCGAAATTCTATTACGGCTCCCAAGCCCTTCTGACAACTCAAACCGATGCCCAATGCTCAAAAACTAGTCAATAATTGAGCAGTTCCATGAATATATACTCAAATACTCAATATAATCCTATTTACAACAATTTCCAACTCCGTTCGAAAAGTCGATAAAAATTACTCTCGCGCCCACGTGCCAGGATTTAGAAATTTTTTGAAGATAAACTTTATCCATAACCTCATGAACTCAAATATATAATTTATTTCCAATTCCATGCCCAAATTCGTGGTCAAAATCCGAAAATACCAATTTTTAGGTTTTTCTTCAAAATCCCAAATTTTACAATTTTTATGTCTAAATCCATATATAAACCTTGTATTGAACTCACAACTAGAAGAAATCTCTTTCCTCTCGATGATGATTGAACCCCCTCTCAAAATGCTCTCAAAAATTGCCTAAGCCAAAGTGGGAAATGGGCTAAGTCTCGGAATAAAAAGCCCTTGGCTCCAGTCGCAGATGTCGAATTTGTGACATGTGGCTCGGAAATGCGATGGTCGCATTTGTGACAAATGCGACGCAAATGCAAAGTCAAGCTGCGCCTGCCAAGGTCACATTTGTGACCAAGATCTTCGCAAATGCGAAGGGGACAGATTCGCAAAAGCGACAAATGTTCGCAAATGCGAACCCCTCAGAAAATTCCCACCCTTTGCAAATGCGAATGTCGCATTTGCGACCAATACATCGCAAATGCGATCAGACTAGAACCAGCAAACTTCTTCACAAAACACTCCGAAGGTACTCCAAAACTCTCCCGAGCCCCAGGACTCCAAACAAACACCCACACAAGTTTAGAAACATAACACGAACTTGCTCGATGCCTTAAATCACATTAAACAACGTAGAATTCATGAATCGCACCCCAATTAAAGCTTAATGAACTATAGAACCTCAAACTTCTACATTCGATAACGAAACCTATCAAATCACGTCCAATTGACCTCAAATTTTGCACACAAGTCACATTCGACATTTAGGACCTACTCCAACTTCCAGAATTAGAATTCGACTTCGATATCAAAACGTTCACTCCCGGTCAACTTCTCAAAAACCTTCAAATTTTTAACTTTTGCTAAATGACCCAAAAATGACCTACAGATCTCCCAATCCACCTCCCGAAGCGCTCCCAATACCAAAATCACCATACGGACCTATTCTAGACACGAAATCCCATTAAAACATCGATAATATTGAAATACCCCTCGCCCCAAATTTACAAAAATTCTTCCGAAATGCCAACTTCCACAATGGGCGCCGAAATGTTCACGAGTCATCCAAAACCCGATTCGGACATACGTCCAAGTCCAAAATCATCATACGTTCCTGTTGGAATCTTTAAATCCCGATTCCGAGGTCGTTTACTCAAAAATCCAACCTTACTCAATTCTTCCAACTTAAAGCTTCCGAAATGAGAATTTTCTTTTCAAATCAACTCTAAACTTTCGAAATTCCAATTCCGACCACGCGTACAAGTAATAATACCTGAAGTGAAGCTACTCACGGCCTTAGGCTGCCGAACGATGCGCTAGAGCTCAAAATGACCGGTTGGATCGTTACATTCTCTCCTACTTAAACATACGTTTGTCCTCGAACGTGCTAAGAACTGCGCTGGGTTGTCTGAATTCATTGTTTAACACCCTGTGCACCTACCCGTGCTACTGTAACTCATTTGAGCTCACCAGCTCGAGCCAACATGAAGATCCTCCCCTTATTTAGGCAACTAAGCCTTAGAGTCAAATTCCAACATCTGAAATTCTCTACCAAGTTTATCCCCAACATACGAACACCATATCAATCACTACTCGATTTACCAATACATGATCTTATACTCTTACTGAATTCACATTTATGCACCGCACTATTCACGTGACCATGATAACATCCTCCGATAACAATAGCCAAAATTTTACAAATCCGATGCTCACAACACACCTCATGACACATACATGTCCAGTTCCAACTCTTGCAATACTGCCACGACGGAAGAGATGTATAGGAATTCATAACCAACTGCCAACTCAACAATTCATTGAGTTTTCCCACTTGACAAGAAACATTACCTCATCCTGGACTGAATTTGCTCTGTAATATGCTTCATATGAATCTGATCGCACTGATCCAGGTCCAATAATCTCATCTCGCCCTGTACAAGATGCTCAGGCAATAAGCCACCTCAGATATTGCCAAAAGTCTCATATGATGCCACAATGTGCCAACAAGCTTAAAACCTCGAATGTGATACCAAAAGGAAAAAAATAAACTCTGGAAAGAACTACTCAACCTACGCAACTAATTAAGCAACCGAAGGGATGTTATGAACCTTCCTTAGAAGATGCGAAACAAAACACACAAGGATAGATATGGGAAACTGTACTCAACATCACACTGTTGCAGCGTGCAACCCGATCCACACATAATACCATTGCGACGTGCAACCCTTCCAACAATGATATCCGTGGTGGCGTGCCACACGATCCACACATAATAATCTATAAAGTGCTCATACCTATGAAATACCCAAATATCAACCACAAGCACGCGAAGTGAATAATACAAATCCCGGGGAGACGGATAGCACCATACGCCACGAAACTGAAGCACAACTAAGGTGCACTAAATTACCTATATCTCGAGAGTCATCCTGCTCCCACAACACCATAAATTACATGTTGAGATAGTGCGAATAATCAAACTGCCTCACAACCCTCATGGAACAACACAGTATTACATGAAATAGCCGACGAACAAAATAACATCCAACGTCCGAATACTCATCCTTAAACAACGCTATGCTGAAATGAACACATCCAGCCTCATATAGAGCCCACATTCACATTTAGATCCATCCACGGTCCTGGAGCCGATTCAGGTCATGCCACATTGGGCCTATACCCTTTCAGGAATCCACAATTTCCTATGACACACAATAACAATCGTCAAATTCGGAACAATACCCTTTCAGGAATCCACAATTTCCTATGACACACAATAACAATCGTCAAATTCGGAACAAACTTCCATAGTCCACCACCAAATAAACCAAGCGCCCTTCAGGCATAAATTCTCGCATTAGCGATAATACCATAATCTCCATACTTGGTTTCAATCTTTAATCAATTAAGTGACTACATGTCACACTTACACAATCCTCCCGCGAGATATGCTTCCACGACCTCCCGCCCCAGGTATCAAGTCTACACATCCATACCACCGGCCATACTAATGTTGTAGAGCGAATCAAGGATCCCTA